TATTTTGAATTACAAACATATAACATGTAAACCATCGGATGCAATTTGAGGTTGATTGTGCGAAACTGCAAGGTCACGCAATGTTAAAACCATGTTCATATCGGTTCCAAACTTGAAATAAGTACATGTAGCTACATGTGGAGGTTCTTCGCCAAAAAAAGGGTTGAACAAGAAAAGAAAAAGACCAGTGGCTTAAATAAAAAAGGAAAAAAACAAGCTGACGAATCCTGGAATCAAACTTGGGTTCACTAGATTGGAACGCGGGTGCTAACCATAGTAACACGTAATAAACCTTGCTTCAAGGGGTAAAGATACAAGTACTTCAGCCTTATCTCAAATTAACTAACAAATATGCAAATTAGCTAACAAATATGTGACATATAGTCTCTTAAACTGCAAACGTCTCGTGTGGATAGTACACAAGGAACAGAGGAGTCCTATTTGACCTCTTTTACGGTTAAATTCACCGTACAATTGTAGCGTGAATCAATTTTTTTTGATTCAAATGACCTCAAAATCGAACTGTACACGTGCGATTCTGTTGTGATGATTAAATCTACTATAAATAGGCATTGCTTCCCAAATTGGGCTTGCTTCCAGTTCAAAAATTTCTGAGAAAGCATCATCAGGATGGGCAATTTTTACCATGGAGTAAATTGGGCATGTCGAGTCATGTATGGGGGACGCACTTTCTTGCGATGTATCCTTGACATGATGAACTCCCTCATCTCCCCTACTGCAAGCACAAACTGTCAGCTGAATTTCACGAAGACATCAAGTGGTGGCATTCCTTTCTTTCCCTTCTTCAATGGTTGGGGCCTTTTTCTCTCAGACCAGCCCACAACTGATGTGTAGACAGATGCTTGTCCAATAGCAGCAAGGGCCTATTTTTGGGGAGATTGGTACTGTCATAACTTCCATATCAACTCTCTTGAATTTGCTGATCTACTCATTAATCATAAGGAAGTGCTGGCTCTAATTTTTGCAGCCTTCCACTGGGCCAGGTTTTGGAAAAATCAGCATTTTATTATGTATCAGACAATGTAGCTGCAGTTCACAATATCAATAAATGTTCTACTGTTAACCATGCCATTATGCCTGCCCTAAGGCAGTTGTTTTGGCTGTCTGCCATTATCATCGGTATACATCTAAGTCTGATGTTCTCACAGATGTTGTTTCTTGCCTCCATCAACCTGCCCAGTGCCTCTCCTTTCACAGAAACCTACTGTGACTCATGCCTTAACCCCACGCTGATGCTTTGCCTTTGGTCCAACCCAGGTCTTTTGACAGTGCAGATTTCCTTTGTTGCAGAGCCTCTGGATGTTAACCTGGCCTGGCAACTGAAGGAGGAGATCTTTTACTATCGGTCTCGGTCACACGTTCTCTACCAACACAAAAGCAACTTACTGTACGTACCCACCACAGCAGCTATCTTTGTTTCTATCAATGCTTGGGGTATCCACCTGTTCCAGCTCGTCCTGAACACATTTACCAATATGCTGTCTTTTTAGCCAGAATGCTTAAAGCTCCCTCCATTCCTAACTATCTTAATATTATTGGCATTCTCCACAAAGAATTAAATTTATCCAAACCCTTGCTAATAACTGGTCTCTGCAGTCCCTTCTTACCTGGATTAAGTGTGTTAAGGGTCAGCCTCCGTGCCAAAAACTTCCCATCATCCCTGATCTCCTGTATCGGATACATTTGCAACTTAATGTGTGCTCCAGTTTTGATGCTTCATTTTGGGCCAATCTATAGGGTTTAGTTGTGGTGCAGATTATGCAAATGATATGCAAATGATGTCCTTCCTTCATCTGTAAAATTTTTGTAGTAATTTTGCTGACCAGTAGATAAAGCTCCTCAAATCACTATATTAGTCAACATTGCAGGCACATGTATCATTTTACATTTCTAGGTCAAGGTCTTTGTGACTGCGATTGTTGCACTAAACATGGAAACTTGTTTTGTTTGCTTTCTGGGTATAGTTCATTTTACATTTCTATTAGTCTTATTCTTTCTATTCTTATCTTAAATTAACAGTTAACTGTAAATAAGACCAAATGGTTGGCTTTTGTAATACGCACTGGGAACATTTTTGATGACAGAGGTGAAGTTGCTGGAAGCTGCTATCGTAAATTTCCGCTCTGAAGTTTAGGAAAGATTGACAAGAGGCAATCCGCCCTAAATGTGGATGGAACTACTACTGGAGGGTTGAGCTCCTGAAATTAAATTTCAGAAATCAAAGAAAACAGTTTCGTTGAGGCCACAGTAGCATTTGTCGAAAAAGTCTCTAATAAAGAACACCGTGGTCTTAGGAGCCTCTAAAAAAATCATGATTATGCCAGATTAATAAGTTTCAACCACAGGTTGTAGAATCCACCGCAAGAAAATCCTGATCTTGAGGACAAACTCTCCATATTATGCAAATAACAGTGAAGAAACATAAGTCGCATTGGAAGACAAATCCCACATAGCAGGAGCGAGGAGAACTAGCTAGAACTTCGCAAACTGAAATCCAATCCGAGCTTTGAAATTTTGCCCACAGACAAAAATTTGTGGGCTTGTTCAAGCTGATACACTTAGGCACTTGAATAAGCTGATGAGCTATCACACAACAACTCTTGCAAAAAGTTTTATAGGGACAAGTTTTTAGATGATGCCAATTTTGGTCAAAGGTGATGACATCAGAAGAAGAACAAAGGCCAAGGTGCATAATGGCCTGACGAGAAGGTGGCCTACCTCTTTAGGTTTTTCTTTTTTTTTAATTTTTTTTTTTGCCTTTCCTTTTTTTCCAGGTAGGACTTGTTAGACTATGCTACAGCAACTTTTTAGAGGTCATAGGTCTGCATGGTAGCTCACGGTTTCTGCTGTTACCTGCCTGTTGCTTCACAGAGTTTGACACCTTTCTCTAACTCATTAATAATTCATCAAGTTGAAACAAAGAAAATCACAACTGTGAAGGAGGTTTGGATATCTGGTCTTAATTAGCATACTTCTTAGTTTTTGTTTCGATTGAGAAGATACATCAAACACTCAAGACAGTGTTTCATCAGCTATCCAAACACCTCGAATTTTGTCAAGAATACTCCGCTCCGCATCGTATTTTGAACTTTATTCTCGGTGTTTGGATATCCCAATGAAACACTGTCTCTCATGTTTGATATATCACATAATTTCTTAATTGAAAGATATGTTTTAAGCTCTCTAAGTATAGGCACTGGAGGAACAAAATTTGAAATATGCGGTGAACATCAGGGGTTACAATACGTTTGTTAGCAGGCAGGCATCGGGATATGACAACCTTGCAGAAAAATGCTACGCCCAAAGGGGAGTCTGGGGGCATGCCCCACCCCCCAGAAAACTTTGAAATTACAATTGTCAAAGAAAAAAGCCAGCTTGCTGTTTCGTGTCAAGTCATGACTGATCCAAACCTTTCAGGCTGTTGCGGTTTGCTGGTTACCTTTTGCAGTTTCATCTTGCATCTGATTGGTCATGAAACAATAAACATTCCAGAAATTTTCTCTGGTGTCCACAGTTTAACAGGAAAAAATGTAAGAGGTCGGATTGTGTGTTGAGTGGCAGTCACAGGTAATTGTGATAGCTCGAGCAGCAAATCAAATTTGATGGAAGGAGAATGTCAATTAGCATAGTTTATATGTGCGTTATGGCATGAGAAAATATAGGTATAGATAGGTGTTGAGTTTTACCCCTGCTGGAGGTCATAGGAAACTACTAATACTAGTAATAGTTATCTCTAGATCTCCTCCCGCTTTCTTTTATTTCTGCTGATTGAAAACCTGACAATAATATTAAACATTTTTGTATGAACTAAAAATTTTATTTTTTTTTTTTGTAAACTGTATCACTCATACTGATCCAGTAACTTAGGTATCTTATAATTACCATGAATATGATCCAAACAATCAGCTAAGTTAACTAAACCAACACATTCTGTTTAACTCATTCTATCACATGATATTCTTTACATAATACTCTCACAAAGCATTTACAGCAGAGCAGTTTACCATATCTTGTTAGAAAGGAGGCAAAAAGTACTTTCTGGGGGAAAAATATGTTGCCTTCGTGGAAACTAATATTTCTTTTACAAAAATTTCACTCAGTAGAACTTTTTAGGGAAAAAAAGGTTAAAAAATTAAAGTGAAACGAGGGCCAAAACCCTGCAGGGGCAAAACATAATTATCTCAAATTACAGAGGTGTTGAATTGTTAAAGGTAAATTTAACAGCAGAAACCACACAGGCCTATGACCTCTAAACATTTGTTATCATATTGCCATGATAGTGAGATGGATACTGTACCTCATTCAAACTCCTCCTAATAACACAGCATACTCATGATCACTCAGTTTGGAAATGACAATGAAGCTTAATAGTTTTGGGGAAAACCACATATTTTGTAAAATGGTGACTATAGATATGGACCACACATAGTATACCATTTGAAAGATATCATTTGTGGGATACCATAAATCAACTACTGTAACAGCCATAGAGGAAGCCTCAGTTTGAATTGAAAAGCATTCAAAATGAAAAATGTTAAAAAATATCTCACTCCTTGTATAGTTGAGGTATACCCCTAAACTATAGCTTATTATACAGTGTGTAGGTTATTTTCAGATTAATTAACTTAAAAGTCTAAGAGAAAAAGTTGCACAATTTGTTGTAGTGGTTAATCAAGTCTGATCTAGGAGGGGGGTGTGATTTTATGCTTTCAAATGACAGACGTGTCCAAGACCTTTTTGCTGTTCAAATTTGATAAAAATTGACCAAATATTGTGCATGTAACGGTATTTTGTGCTACATGACACTCTTGGGAGTGAGATGGGGAAACTTTAAAATGGAACAACAATGCTGAGGTGGAATTAGTGACAGCGCTTCACGGGGGTCACTTTTGCACTTAAATGAATAATAATCAGTGTAATTTAATTAACTGATACGTGTTGTTATTTAATGATCTTTAATTTTTGGTTTTGTCTTCTAGGTGCAATATCAATGTCCATATTGTTTCTTACATTTGAACCTGCTGCTGTGCTTGATGATGAACATAAAAAACCATATGACTATTCTTATTCGTGGATTGGAATGCCTATTGAGGTGAGCAAATGAAATAATTGATTATCCTTTGGTTCTTGTGGCATTATTCAATGCAGTCTTGGTCTGACACATTCTGTTTGCCTCTGCTGGCACATAAGCCTGCATCGTAGGCATTCAAAAGGGTAGCAGAGGGGTAGGAGAGGGGAAGGAGAGGGGAAAACTAGAAGGGCGAATTGTGATAGGAGGGGGACAATAATGCTTTGCCTTCTAGTTTACCCCTCTCCCTCCCCTTTGAATACCTGCCATGCAGGCTATTGGTGCATTAATTAACAGATTAAATAAATTGGTATGCGATCATCACTATGGTCAAAATAAACATAGCAGTATATGTATTTAAATGCAATATTTTATACAACTTATCTCAGTAGTAAACAAAAAATCTTATTTCTTTTGCAGTCATTCACAATGTTTGCATATATTTCATCCTATATGTGGACACTATTTTATTCCCTTGATGTCTGCCTTCAAGTTCATAATCGCCAATCATGGTAAATTTGTCTATTAATTGCTTAGGATGGAAGGTCTACATTGTGTGGTATATTGCAAATATTGTTGTGTGCTGGCCGTTTCTGTAATTGTTCAATCTACCAGTTGGTTATTAGCCCTGTCAGCCTAGTCAGCCAAGTCATTAGTCCCAGGGTGAGGATGTTTCAGAGTAGATGCACACAATCCCTTACTTTGACTGTTTCCACCTCCTGTGGTGTGGATGTGGGGATTGAACTTATAGGAGGCATGCTTCCGGTAATGTTCTACAAATTGTTTGCCCTGAACAAGGATTTACACTTGTAAACATAATGAATGCTCATTAAACAAAATTCATATGGATTACATAAAGATCCCCCTTGAGAGCATGGGTGATCAAAATAGTATAAATTAATATCGTTTTGGTAAATCAAGATCAACATTTCTAAAATACAAAAGCGTGATATGAGAGATTTTCACTTAAGCTAAAATAGAAATAATTTTTTATTTGCATTGTTTGTTTCGATGTTAATAAGCTTAATGGTGACGCAGCCGTATTGCTAAAAACCATGCATCAAAATAATGGTCTCCCTATCATTTTACCTGTTCTATTTTAAGTTGCCTTTATCCTGACAGGCTGCTACATGTAAGTCTGTCTTGCCCATTGTGGATCTAAAAATGTCTTGAAGCGGAGAAGGGCACTGAAAAACCTTTCAGCGACCTTTCAGCAAAGCACAAGGTTATAGGAATTGTGGCCAAGATGGAGGCAACTTCATATAGAACAAGTAAAATGTCATGGAGACCATTTTGATGCATGGTCTTTACCATCACAGCTTTTTCTCTCTCTGGCAGGAGTCCCTTCAGTCATAGTTTTCAAAGATTGAATTCTTTGAAATTAGATATAATTTGGATGTTGTGGTTAGGAGAAGGGCAAAATATAATTTTGCCCAATGAACACAAATCTTCCTTGTCTTTGCTCTAAAACCTTGATTGAAGTTCACTTACAGTACATCTCAGTTTTGCCCTCTAATACTACATTTTTGCCTGAATAATACCATTTTGTAACAGGGGCTCTCCTTGTAAGCCCAGTAGGGTTTTTTTGACAGCTCCTGCTCTTTTTACGTATAAAATTATGTGAAAATATATTACTGTAAATCAATGAATCTCAAAAAAATGCTTGATTAAACAAAGTTCCTAAGTGCAAGTAAGACCAAAAGTAGAAGTACTAAATATCATTATCTTGATCAAATTGAAGGTACCATTGGTAAAATTAATATGGTGTTCCTATGCTACCCATCCCTCCCTATAAAGCTAGCTAGAAGCACCAAGGTTAAGCCCACTGTAAATTTATTACAAGTTGTTTAAGTCCAGGGCTTAAACACGGGGTGACCCATATATAACAAGGCTGAGGTGTTCAGCCTGCCAATCACAAATCCCAGTGGACGACCAGTGCTCCCATTTGATTTGCTTATTCACTCAGGTCTAATTTTAGTGCGTTGCCACAAAATTCTGGAGAGCGACGAGTGTAATTTTCTGTTTTATTTTACAAGTAAGCAATGCCTTTTGAACTACATATAAATGAAGGATAGCTTCAAGAGAAGAGTTACAAAGAAAATTGACTTTTTTAATTTCAACTTCATAATTTTGTTCCTCCGTTTGCAAAAGCCTTTTGTATGAATTTGCGCTGTTCACTCAAATTCATAAAATGCCTCATTTAGTTCTTTCAATGCCAGAGTGTCTTTGCTCCTTCAAGGATTAACACAGTTGTGAAATAAGTTTGGGAACTAAAACTTGCAAAAAAAAACCCAGCTACAAGCAGACAGTTAAGGGTATATAATTAATTATATCTACGGTAATATGATTATTTTTTTAGCCAGTTATCTAAAAGAAATTCCATAAGGTGAACATTGGCTGCTGTTGTACTCTTGAGGCTAAAATTCAGCCGACCTTTTATGAACACAACTTTTGTTTTTATTGCATTCAGGCTTGAGCCTTCCTTTTCCTTTCTAACGTCCATATTCAGACGAAATCTCACTTTGCCGTTTTTCAAGTTTTCTTGTTTCTTCGTAGTGCTTTTTGTTTCCAATTTCTTTGCTCTAAATATAGAACAGTTTGAGGAATAACTCAGCATTGTTCAATTTGCATTTTGTTTGCACCATCATAACACTCATAAATTTGAATAATTAACAATTATTCCATGAGTGAGCGTTGGCTATAACCAATCTCATATCCAACAAGCACGAATGGAATAATTGTTTTATTAAATACGGTGCGTTTGTATACTTGGAAATTATAGCTTAATTTAATTGAGTTTTAATTTTACAAAGCGACCGGAAATCGATGTGGTGAAAACAGCAACAAGTGGGAAATTACATGACTTGCGCGCCATTTGTAAAATTTGTTGAATGAANCAAGGACAGCAATGATGCCTGTTTTCCTGAGGCCTTTTACAAATGCTCTAATAATTTATTTGCCTGGTCAGAGATAATGGAAAACGGTTTGTTGTGCGGGGGCGTGCGAAGGAAATGATCAATGGCGGCTCTCCTTATGGATTTAATCTATGAAGTTTTGCAATACGTGCCATCTTTCTTCCTCGCAGATGTGTAAAAACACTTCAAACAAACATTCAGTTCTTCTTTTGACATTGCTCATATCGGTTTCGAAAATTTGGTGCCACCAGGACTAGCAAGCCATTCTGTTAAGGTAAACATTGTTTTTGTTACATAATCTTCATGAGTGCGTAAAATCTCGACTGTCATATTTTAATTTTGCAACTTTTTGAGGAAACTTAACGTATACGCACCGTTAAATAATCTAATCTCGAACTTTGTGGCTTTTTTGTTGTTACTGGGACAGCATTGTCCGTAATTTCCTGTATTTCTTCTGTAGATAGCTCACCGAATCTGTTTTTTTTCGTCCATTTTTTTCTCAACAAAACTTGGCTTCCCGCGAAAAAGTTTATGCCAAGCGACATTCACCGCATTCATTTCCATATAACGTCAAACGCAGGTATAATGGCTGGTAACCGAGATCCAGTGAACCAATAAGAAAGCTACAATTGCATTATCCGAGGTTGAGAATTTAATAATTGTTAAATATCCCACCAAAATGCGTCTGTGTTCATAGGCTTTAACCAAAATCACTTCTTACTGGATTTGTTTTCCTTCTCGGCATGCTGAGATAAATGGAAACAGATAGCTTGTTGACCGCAGGCATCAGCTTTGTTATTTTAGTTAGCGACAAAATTTGAATGTTCCGTGAAGTTACGAAGATAATTCATCATTTTTGTTCTTCCAAGGCATCTTCTGAAGTGTTAATATAAGTTTTTTTCACTGTATTTTTATTATTTACCTTACATTATTTCACGTAAATAACGCCATTGTTTTAACGAGAAAAACGCTATTTCTCCACGACTTCTATGGTATGCAACCGTTATTTCAGCTTTCCACCTTGCACAAAAAAGCCAACAAAGTGCTTCAAAGGTGGCATGTCCTTGCCTTTTATAGGATCGCTCCATGTTTAAAGCCTGCATTTTATGGTCTGATTGTTAGTAAGCTCTGTGATAAACTTCCTTGCATATGGCTACTGCCTTTGAAATTTGAATTAACAAATCAGCATTCCTAAAGTAGGCAAGAGAAACTGTACTGTCCTGACACCACTTGTATGTTTGAAGGAAACTAAGGCATTTATGATGGGCCACTTTTCTCACTTGATGCTACATTAATAGTCAAACTAGTGAGACAATCTCAGATAGTGCAGAGTGCAATTGATAGCTCTGGCATGGTAGTCCATAGGTACTCACCCCTGCTGAGTTCACTTCTGGTTTGTATCGACCTTGGTAGTCTGCTAAGGCTTTTCCTTCAAGGTTCAATAATAGTGCCTTAAAGCCTTAATGCCTTAGCTTCTTAGCCCCTTAGCAGCAGGCAGCCCCCCGCCTCCCTGCCAAAACCATCCCAATAGTGCACTCTGCACTGAAAGGGAGGTTAACAATGCAGCTGAAGTCATGAGAGATTGTACAAAATGAAAAATATGAATCAAAATGTTTGTGCCTGATACAATTTTGTTTGTCTTTATTTTTGTTAGTTCTGAAGAATACAAAATTTATTGTTCTGTTTTGGCAGACAGGAGGGTTTTAACTGCAAGTTATACTGTGTGCACAGCTGCTGTATGCTGAGCTCTTAAGGACATCCCTTATACATTTTTTATTTTGTATGTAATCTTTTTGTTTTCAGCTTTCACAGTAAGGTGTATCACCTGATGTCATGGCCTTTGGCTGCTTGGCTTGCAGGATGGGGTCAATATGCATATTTTGGCAGTAAAATTTAGTAAGTCAGTTGAATTATACACTAACATGGTTGTACAGTATTATTTTATATCTGGATTGCTGATTATATCAATCTGCAGTCATGAACATGTATTTATATACCTTGGCAGCATTCTGTTTAAATAAATGTTGCCTGAATTGTTATTTTGACAGTGACTGTAATCCTCCGTAGGAAAAAAGAAGGGGACTGGTACATTTACCCATAGTTCTTAGCGCAAGAAAATCCTTACAACGTTCATAAAAACGTACAGAAAAGTTATAGAATCTTCAAACCTAGGCTGCACAATATCCTTAGTACAGGAACTAATATTGTAAAAATTTGGCTTTCTTTGTGCCATATAGGCTGTGTTAGGTTCGCAAGGTATTGTGGTAAAATGTACAGCCGCCATCTTTTTTCCTAGGGTGGATTGTACACCAATAGTTCCCTAACTTAACTACTGCAAATGAATTTCCAAATCTCATCTGTTATGAGTTAAACCAGAAGCACAGGTGATATGCTTCTGGTTAAACCCATAAACTTTAACATGTACACTCATCAGCTGCTCTTCCACTGAGTTAAGGGAGACCACGGAATTTTAAGGCTTGTATGTACATGTAGCCACACTTTCCTGTATTTGGGTCTTCCAAGTCAGCTCCTTACCTGCCTTAACCCACCCACCCACCTACCTACCTACCTACCTACCTACCTACCTACNAATGAGGATAAAGCTATGGGACAGCAAGAAATTCCAACGACTACGCTACAAAAAGTCAGAGTGGAGTGGAAGCAGTAGTATTCTTGGCTGGCCTGGACTATAATTATGTGGAAATTTTTGTGGTTTTGCGAGACTCAGGATGTGGTAGTCTGTCGAAGCTTCCTCCTCCTTTGTTACTGGAGTATGGACCAATTTTGAAACAGTACACTTGGGCAAATCATCAGCAAAGTCGCTATTAAGCCCACTATGCCACAACATCCCAGAGACTGTTCCTTTAGCAACAGCAACAACAACAACAATAACAACAACGACAACATCTTTATTTTCTAAATAATTCAGTATAGTTATTCAAAATGGCGGCTGAGGGCGATGCGGAACGAAAAGAAAAGCATCCTCCGTGCAATGTAAGTATATAATCGCAGCTTCTTAACATACCGCTCATCTGAAATAGTATTTTTTAGGGGTAGTCCATTTTAGGGTGGTCCATTTGGGTAGTCCATTTGGGTAGTCCATTAGGGTAGTCCATGGACTAGGGGTCAGTGTTTTGTCCATCACCGACTGACAGAACAATTGAAACTGCTTCTGGGTTCTTGTCTTGCTCCCATGGTCTTCCTAGAAGGTTTTCAACATATCCTATGACAGTTACCCAATATATCGTCTTGTAGATGAATCCCAGCAAACTGAGTGATGATTTTTTTCAGCTGGTTGGCAAACTTTGCTGATGGAATTCACGACCTTGTTTACTATTTTACACAAGATCATAGACGTTTTGAGGAAGATGGAAACCACTTTGCTCTCTGGATGATTGAGGTATATTTTTAGGACTACTAGTGTATTTTTACAAAGAAATTTTAGCATGCCCTTGTCACGCCGTGATGTTTTCGATTACTTTTTAGTGCAGAGTGCATTTGGGATTGTTTGGGGGCCTGGTTTGGTTTGGTTTGGGCCCTAAGGCAATAAGGGAATGTTACTAAAACTGGCAACGGGGAACGGGGAACGGGGAACGGGGAACGGGGAACGGGGAACGGGGAACGGGGAACGGGGAACCGGGAACCGGGAACCGGGAACCGGGAACGGGAGTCTGGGAACGAGTGTACAGCGGTAACCCGCCAAAGAATTCAACATGGGGGACAAAGGAAAAGAAAAGGGAACAGAAATGTGAGGAAGTGTTACGGTTGTAAACGTGGGTTTCTACCGGCTGTGCCCCAGAGTCCAATATGGTACTG